TGTTCTAAATGTCACTGACCCATTTCAGAGAAATGGCTAAATGGTGAATTTCCTGTTATGTATATTTTACCACAAAAGAAAAAGAAAACACACCTCTAGGAATCAAATGAAGGCATGTACGAGAAAGGATCGGGGAAAATATGAGGCGGGGGGAGGGGGCAGAAGGCTACAGGCAGTAGGTCTTGCCAGTTGGTCTGGCAAGATTGGTCTTGCCGGGATTCTCACAAGCCCTTCTAGAAGCCCCACCCACCTGCCATCACTCCCTGCGGCAGAGGGAGGGACAAGTGGGAGAAGCCGGGGGAGGAGGGAAAGTGCCTGCTGATCCGCAAGGTGAGCAGAGAAAACAGTCCTGCCTGCGAGCATCTTCCCTCTCGTCCCAGAAACTTCCTGGGGTGGCTGGTCCAACCAGGAGAAAAGTCATGGGCCGGAAGGCAGACACCGGGCCAGGCCAACCCCAGGAGCGGCAAGCCGGGGAGGAGGAAGAGCTGAGGAGCTATCACCTATAAGAAGCTGGGCATGCGGGTCTCCTTCCCAGCTCTCCCCAGGCCCCGGATACAAGAATGAACCAGGGAGCTCCCCTGTCAGGGAACCAGGGACCCGGGGCCCTCTGGCGTTTTGCCTCTTGCCAGCATCCTGTGCAGGAGAAGTGCCTAATCCAGGCAGGGGGGCCCCTCTTTTACCCACTTGCTACTGGTCCCCCAGGGGAGCATGGAGGTCTGACCACGTCACCGCCCCATCCAGGGTGCTATAAAATGTCGCCCGAGGCAGGGCCACGTCTGCTCAGCCCGGGATCCCCTGCATGGGCACACACTCGGTGAGGAGCTGGTCAGTGAGGATGGACGACCCCTCCTGGGAGAGGACCAGGGACCCCTGCTCCATTTCAGGCAGGAGACCAAGAGAGCCCAAGTCACCTGCTCCAGGACCGCCCGTCGGGAGCAGAGCTGAGGGTGCCCGGGGCACCTGCCCCTTCCCCAGGCTGCTCTGACTCACACTGCCTCCCAGGGTCCCGGACGGCACCCACCAGGGGGACCTGGATATCCAAAGGCAGCCATGGGACTTTCCTTTCATGGAGCCTAGGGGCCGGCAAACCACAGCCTGTGGCCAAATCTGGCCCTGCCGACTGTTCTAGTAAATTCCGTTTCATTGGAACTCAGGCACGCGCATTTCTTTACACACTGATGTGCTGTCTCTGGGAGTCACAACAGAGATTACGTGGCCCTCACAGTCAAAAATGCTATCTGGCCCTTACAGAAAAAGTTCGCTGACACCCGATATGAAAGATCATAAAATTATGCATCTAGATGAGCTAGAAGGGACCTCAGTCACGAACTAGCCCAGGGGTTGACAAACTATTTCTCCAAAGGCCAGAAAATAAATATTTTCAGCTTTGAAGGCTGAGAGGCAAAACCTGGGATATCATGTAGAGGCTCACAGAACCATTTAAAACGTAACCATTTGTACAACTCAACGATGACAAACAACCTGATGAAAAATGAGCAAAGGACTTGAATAGACATTTCTCAAAGGAAGATAGATGGCCAATAAGCACATGAAAAAAAGTGCTCAGGGGAACGCAAATCAAAACAGTTCACACCCTTGAGGATGGCCATTATCAAAAAATAATAACATGAGCCTGGGTGGCTCAGTCGGTTGAGGGTCTGACTCTTGATTTCGGCTCAGGTCATGAACTCAGGGCCGTGGGATGGAGCCCCTCATCGAGCTCCACGCTGAGCGTGGAGCCGGCTTGGGATTCTCTCTCTCCTTCTCACTCTGCCCCTCCCACACCCTCCAAAAAGAAAAAAAAAAAAAAAGTAACAGCAAGCCCTGGCAAGGATGTGGAGAAACAGGAGGTTGCGGGCACTGGGTGGGAAGGTAAAATGGTACAGTGGCTGTGGGAACCAGTACAGCAGTTCCCCAGTTACATGCAAAATTACAGAAGGACATGCTTTACAAAAAAAATTCAAAGTGCTTTTATTTTATTACCCATTTTATAGAGATATAATTGACACAGAACTCTGGGTGAGTTTAAGGCATACACTGTGATGACTTGATGTACGTATATATTATAAAATGATTACAATAAGGTTGGCTAGCGTGCATCACCTCACACACTCAACGTGTGTGTGTGTGCGTGCGGTGAGAAATTCTAAGATCTCCTCTCTCAGCAACTTTCAAGTATACAAGACAGGATTAACTATCCCCAAGCTGTGCATTAGATTCCCCAGAACTTATTCACCTTCTAACTGGAAGTTTGTGCCCTCGGACCAACATCTCCCTGTTTTCCGCACCACCCCCCGCCCCCCCACCCGCAGGCCCCGGCAACCACAAATCTACTGTTTCTATTAGTTGGATTTTTTTTTAGATCCCACATATAAGTGGCATCATACGGGATCAGTCCTTCTGTCTAGCTTACTTCACTTAGCATTATGAAGCAAGTTCTGACACGCGCTCCAACAGGGATGAGCCCTGACAACATTATGCTAAATGAAATAAGCCAGACGCAAAAGAACAAAGACCGTGTAATTCCACTTATACGAGATCCTAGCATAGCTCATGCGGCACCCCTCCAAGCGGGAACCCGAGGTGATGGTTTCTCTCAGCCGCACGGTGAGGGAGGTGAGCTCAGGAGGGCAGAGTAGCCCCCTAAGAGTTGAAAACCCGACCCGGCGCATGAATTCACTGTCCTGGCTCTGAGAGGCTCGTGGCGCCTTCTTTCCCACCGTATCGCCGGTTGGCCTGACCCCACAGGCCACCCCCGTCCAGCCCGGGCCCCGCCAGGCTGGGGACACCGAAGGATCACGGGGGTGCGTGAGCAAGGGAAGGAGGCAGCCTCCCCACTTCATAGGAGCCCTTTGGTCAGGGCCAAGAGTAGCAGGGTCCAGAAACAAAAGCAGACAAGGGCGGTGCGTGCACACGTGAGTCTCCACACGGTGACAAGATTGGGGCGGACCCAGGTCCCCCCCTCGGAGATGGCCTCCGCCCAGTTCTGCTAAGAGAGCCCCGCCCCGTGCCCTGCTCACAAAAGGGACGGAAGCGTGTGCGGGGCTTAAGTGCAGAGAGCCTCCCAGAAGACACCAAGAAACGGGTAACCGAGGTCCCAGGGGTGGGGCAGACCAGGCCCAGGGAGGGAGGGCGGCGCCGAGAGCCCCCCTGTGCCGGCCCGGCCAGGAGGGGCTTTTTCTGCCGGGCAGCTGAGGACCCTGAGGCCGGGAGGCCACGGCGGGCCCGGCGGGCCTCGGCGGGCAGGACAGGCACGGGCCTGTGTGGGCCAGCGCCCCTCTCCCCCCAGCATCCAGGGCAGCCACCGCCCCGCGGGAGAGCACAGCGGGAGGGAAGGCCAGATCTCACTGTAAGCCCGGCACCGGGACCACAGTCCGAGCGAGGCCCAGCGGACGGAGGGACAGAACCAAGGAGGGAGCCTCTTGTTTCCATGTCTGGAGCACTCCTCGGCTTTCAGACTGCGCTGGAGCCTCTGCGCCACCCTGTGACCTCTCTGCCCAGGGTCAGGGGTCAGGGGTCAGTCTCAGTCCTCTCTGCATTTAGCCCGAGTGCTCACTGATGTCTGCATTTGGCCCTGGTGACCGACTGGCTCACAGGAGAGGCACAAGCCTGACCCTCCAGGGGCTCACTGTCACGTGGGTCTTATATTGCACCAACGAATGGCCTCGGCGCTCTGCGGGAGCTGGGCTGGAGCGGGGCAGGGGGTGGGGGGGGTCACCCTGGGGCTTCTGCACCCACCGTGCAGTCAGGGGGGCTCTGGGAGGTGCCGCGGACGCCAAGGGCTAACGTGGGACGAGAGGCCAGACCCGGCCAGAGGTGAGGCAAGAGAGAGAGAGTCCGGGCAGGGGCCCTGCCAGGGGCCTGGGAGGAGGTGACCCAGAGCCGACTGACACGGCTGGGCCTGTCACTGTAAGGAGACAACAGGCAGGCCGCCTGAAAGGCCAAGAAGCAATGTCCGTGGGGGAGGCTGGCCTCGGCGGGGCCCCTCCTGGCCACACTCCCTCTCCTCACTCCCGGGAAGGCCAAGCCCGCAGGGGTGTGGGGCAAAGGTGTCCCGGACACAGAGACGGAAGGCCGGGGCCCTGGCTCTCGCGGGGTGACGGTGCGAAGGCCCAGTCAACATGCACGCCCCTGCCCTTGGCATCGACAGAGGCCGCTTCCCACGTGCGAGGGACGGAGCACCCAGCACAGCCCTCACCCGCCCACCCCAGGGCCCACGGGGGAACATGGAGACGAGCTGCCACCTGGCTCCCCGATGACCACTCCCAGGTGGGGGCCGGGGCCACCAGAGCGCCTCATCCGTTGTGACAAGTCAGGGATGGGGACTCTCCTGTGCCTCGTCTGTTTTCTAAAGACCGCATGGGCCGTGTTCAGTCCACGAGCTAGCGAGCCGCCCACAGAACCGAGGTAGGACCCGAGGCTCAGGGATGGCCGGGCCAGGCTGGGCCACACAGCCTGCAGGGCACTGCGCCCCCCGTCTGAGCACGAGGGCGCGCCTTCATCAGCTAGGAGTTCGCCTACTCTCTCCGCTTTCTGGGACGGCAGGAAGGTAACAACATGTCAAGTCCAGAGTTGAGCTGAGCAGCTTGCTGGCACCAGCCCAAGCCTGGGTGAGGCCCAGGCCCCAAGCGTCACCTGTCTCCTGTCCCGGCCCTTCCCGGAGGGGACTCCTGCAGGAGTTTGTCTACACACTTGAGCCTGGGGACCACCTGGCCTTGTCCACCCCGCTCCTCTGTGCCTGGACCCCGAGCACGAGGCACAGTCCCCTTCCTGGGGCCACGAGGATTCCTCTGACAACAGGAGTCTGAAGGCCCAGAGAGGAAAGGGTGACTCGCCATGGCATGAAGCCTCGGAGAGCAGACTTCCCTGGGTGCAGACCCAGGGCTCCCCGCGTCTTGCTGGACCACCTGATACTGGCAGCAGCGGCCACCCCTTCGGACACCGCGGATGCCTACAATGAACACAGACTTGATCCGGCCAGGCAGCCCGGGGATGCTTACCAGTGGGAGCGCAGAACGTTCAGGAGCAAAATGATAGCGCCCAGGGAGTAGCAGGCCAGGTAGGGGGATCGGAAGGCCCTGCTCAGCTTTCGGGTTTTCTGTTCCCATCTCGCAACCTAAACAGCACGGAAGAGAGAATAAGGCAACATAAGATGTTCGCTGGGGAGAATCCAGGGGCGACGTGGAAGTGGGGAGGCAGGTCCCCATTCCAGGCAGGGAGAGTCAGACGGAGCAGCTGTGTGTGGATCTCGGTCCAGCCCCGCAGGGATTTCCACACCTCTAGTCCTGTCCGGGTGGACCGCGAGGTCCTTCTGGAAGCACGTCCCACCGGAAGTGTCCCCAACGGCCATGCCGGACCCCGAGAATGCAGAGGAGGAGAAGCTGCTGGAGAAGACGGGCTGCCAAGGGGAGAGCACAGACCCAGGGCCTACATCCCGCCTGCAGGGCGCTCTCACCCCCGGGGGAGGGGGAGGCCAAGAAGGGGCAACCCGCACCCTCACCCCTGCTTCCCTAGCGCCCCTCTGCTGCCCAGGCACAGACTTCCAAGTTTTTAATTTTAGCCACAGAACCCTTATTTCCGTTTTTCACCCCAATCATATCTAGACTTTCAACCTTCAACAGCTCACAGCGGAGCATAGTGAACAGACGGCTCTGTTTGTCTCCACCAGCCCAGCTTCCTGACGCGCACAACCGCCATGCTGGGGTCCCACTGCACCTGCTGGCGGAGGCTGGGGGCGGCGGGGGGGGCGGTGCAAAAAGGCAAATACACAGCCGGGCGTGCTGGAGGGGACGCAGCTGGGAGTCAAAGTGGCCGCCCTCTGGTCATGTGAGCAGGACACCCACCTGGGCCCTGAACATGAATATATGTGTCTGTGTGTAACATACGGAGGGTCTCCAAGGCCCCAACCGGCCCTCTTTGGTCCTGGAATTACGGCAGGACGACGAAGTCCCGGGGGCCACTGGGGCCAGTATCTCCACTCGGGCCCCAGCCATTAGTCTACCTGCTGCCCATTTCCACTTGCCCAGCGAACCTGCCCTTCCCAGCACTTCAGCAGTGACAGAGTGACTGGCAGCTCCAGGTCCACCTGTGATTTGGCTCAAGGCCACCGACTCTCTGACTCTCTCCCTGGAGGAGGCGGCTCCCGGGCCTGTCCTCAGATTCCCTGGGTGGTAGAGGGTACAGGCTGGAGTTTACGGGAAGGAGGTGAGTGCAGATCTGCGATTGATACCACCCACTGCTCATTCTCCCAGAAGGTAAACAAGTCCTTTGTCCGGCTCCAGGCAGGTGGCCTCTGCTGACCCCATGGGAAGCTCAGGCCTCACTCAGAAAGGGAGGGTTGAGCATTCAGGGGGCTCCGAATGCTCCACCCAGTGGCCTGCAGGTGGCCTGGTGGGAGGCAGGGCCACAGACTGCACGCTTCTCATGGCCAGGCCAATTCGAGATTTTCGAAAAACCTTTAGGGATAAAAGTCAAAGTGTTTTTTCGTTGCGCAACCATCACCAGGGTCTAATTCCAGAACACTTCCATCACCCCCCACCAGAACCCTGTACCCATTAGCTGTCGCTCGGCCTTCCCCTCTCCAGCCCCTGGCAACCTCTAATCTACTTTCCCCGTCTATGGACTGCCCTCTTCCAGAAGGGGTACAAACAGAACCTTGTGACCTTCTATGGCTGGCTTCTTTCACTTAGCATAATATTGTTGAGGTTCATCCACGTTGTCGCATGTGACTTTATGACCAAATGATATCCCATTGTGTGCAGAGACCATTTTATTTACCCATTCGGCAGGTGATGGACATTCGGGTTATTTCTGTCCTTTGGCTACTATGGATCACGCTGCTATGAACACCCGTGTCTAAATCTGTGTGGACATGGGTTTTCACTTCTCTTCGGTGTATATCCAGGAGTGGAATTACTGGCTCATAGGGTAAATCCATTTTTAACTTATTGAGGAACTTCCAGACTGTTCTCCACAGTGGCTGCACCGTTTTTCACGCCAGCCAGCAGTGTGTAAGTGTTCCGATTTCTCCACATGCTCGCCAACGCTTGGAATTTTCCATTAAAAACAAAACAAAACTGTAGCCATTCTCGTGGATGACATGTGGCACGTCACCTCATTTGGAGTCCCCACAAACTAACGGATGACATGAAACATCTTTTCACGCACCTACTGTCCATTTGTATGTCTTCTTTGGAGAAGAGTCTGTTTGAATCCTTTGCCATTCTTTTTATTAGGTTGATTATCTTTTTGTTAATGAGCTGTACGAGTTCTTTACGTATTCCAGATGCTAGATCTTTATCAGATATCCGATTCACAAATATTTTTCTCCCATTCTGTGGATAGCCTTCACTTTCTTTCTAATGTCCCTCCCTGCACAAAAGCTTTTTATGTAGCTGAACCATGTTGTTTGCTTGTAGGATTCAGCCAACCCAACTCCAACTAACGTGTGTAGGAGGCTCAAAAAGTCAGTAAACCAGCAGGCTTGCCCTCGGGGACCTCAGAGTCTACCAAGATAAGACATGGAGTAGATTTTCCATCTGTGTGCCTGATCCTAAATCAGGAGGGTGTCTGGGGTAGTCAGATTGTGTGGCCTGCACAGGGTTCTTTCTAGAGGTCCCCAGGGAAGCCACGGTCACCCTCCAAAGCAGTCGACCAAGGGGTCCAGACGAAGGGGTAAACAGAAGTCTTTTCAGAATGACTGGTGGGGTCACACAGCCAGAAAAAGGAGGAGAAGAATGAACTTTGGGCTCCAGATCCAGTGCTCCCTGTCCAGGGAAGGCCCCTCTCTCCATCCTTCCAATGAGCCAGTTGTTTTTCAAATAAGCTCTCTTTAGCACACCTGGTTCCTTGTAGGTGATTTTAAGATAGAGCTTTAAAGACGACTGATTTTTTTTTCCCTCCCAGCTGACGGGATAACGCTTTCAAAAGGACATTGAAATTGGTTAGAAAGGACATAAGGTGTCACCTACTTCCACCCGAGGGGCTTGGGGCCGTCCCAGCAGGCCCGGTCTGGAAAGCATAGAGGGGGGATCACTGGGAGCACTAGATGCTGGACCCGGGCCTGCCCGGTGTATGCTCCACGCTTGAGGAGGCCAGTTTCGCTCTCTCTGGAGCTGTCTGTCCAGCTGTCAAACGAGGTGGATGTGAGAGCAGGTAGCATTCGGTGCTCCTGAGGACGGCTCTGCCTCTCAGAAGCCCGCCCTCCACCGTCCGGGACGCAGAGACAAAATGTGTCCCACTCTGCAGAACAACTGTCATGGACCGTGGCTGAGCAAAAGGAGCCCGATGCAAAAGAGTGCCTTCCGCCTCATTCCATTTACATGAAGTTCTAGCCGGGGCAGAACCCACTAGAGTGACACAGGTCGGCGCATTGGCTGCCTGCCAGGGCAGGGGCTGGGGGCTGTAGCAGGGAGGGGAGCTGAATAGGAGGGGAGCATGGGAGGACATTGTGGGAAGGAAATGCTCTATTCCTTGATCAGAGCGTTGGCTACATGGGCAGACACCTTGGTCGCCACTCAAACTGTACACTTGAAATATGTGCGTTATAGTGTATGTACACTTTACCTCAAGAAAGCTGACTTTTAAATCCAACCCTTGTTGTACCTGAGCTCTAGGGCCAGAATGGCTGCCAATGCCATGTATCCTGGCAGACTCTCCACACGCAACACCCCGGAGTCCTGAGCCCATCCTCTAAAGGAGGGGCCTGTCCCCTGTGTCCATGGGGCTGACTGATGTGTCCAAGGATACACAGCAGACCCCAGCCCAGAGCCGACACGCCACTTCCGTAGCCACAGTGCACTCCTGGGTGGCCGGGAAGGGGGCCCATGCTCCAGCCCCTTGGGGACCACTCTGCCACCCCCGACCTCCCAGCTGGCCCCCCACACCCCTGTCCCTTCACCTGGAGAACAGTGGGGCGGAGGTGGCGGTCATAAATGTACTTTCTGAGTAATCTCATAACAAAAGGTGGCAGAGCCCGGGAATGGGCCGTGTGGGAAAGAGGAAACAAGGAATCCTATGAGTAACTGCTATCTATCTGACTTTCGGTCAGCCTGTATTAGATTGGGCTGTTATTTCAAGGCAATCAATAAATCAGCAGCCAATGGCCTTGCTGAGTCCAAGGTTAATTTTCCTCCCTGCCAGGCAGCCCCAGCTCCCCTTCCTCAGGCGCCCAGCTGCACACTTCATCCAATTAAGGGGCCGGAAGCAGGCCGCAGAGCTCGCCCGCAGGGGGCTAGACGCCAGGGGCCGAGCTGTGGGATGACGCAGGTCACTGTCCCGCGGGCTGTACGGGCATAGGCGTGGGAGGCAGAATGACCCAACAGCCCACTGTCGCCACTCCTGGCTTTGCTCATCTTGTAGATTCCCAGAATCCCCAAGATGGAGATGGGCATTCCCAGCCCTCCCCTACCGCATGCCCGGCTTCCGCTCCCCCCGAGGTCGCCCCATAAATCCAGGGTTCCCCCCCACCAGGTAAACCTGAATTTCACATCAACTACAAATACATTTTAGTATAAGTGGTCCCAAATGTTGCAATCTGCATCAAACCCACACTGAACCGGGGCTCCGTATTTGTGTTTGCCACATTTGGCAACCGTGCCTCTCCCATACCCGTGGCCAAGCAAGGGTCACCCAGCTCAGCTCTGTAATGGGGAGGTCTCTTCTTCCATAACGCTGATTCATTTTCTTCTCTTTCTTTCTTTTTCTTTCTTTTTTTTGCAAATCTCTCCCATAGGCTCTGTGCTGGGGCAGAAGAGACAGGCTGTCGGCTGGTGGAGCAGGAATAGATTGGGATGGGCATCCAGGGACCCAGGGACACAATTCACAATCCCTGACCCACCAGCAGCCAGCAGTACGTCTGGAGGCACATGACATCGTTGTGTTCCACCTCAGCTGACTCGGCTGTAAAATCCGAAAACTAAGGCAGTAAATCCCTTTTCCACATCCCGGTATGGGGGTAAGACCAGGGCTGATAGGGACAAAAACGTGCCGGCCCTACAGCCTTGTCTGGGTGGAGGAGAATGTCTCTCCCTTGGGTCCCTGGTGCCCAGAGCAGGCTCTGCATCTTCTTTACTTCTGGGTCCCGCTTGATCATGTTGAAGGTGCCGGGTCTGACCC